CAATAGGTGGATCTGTGCTATTCATAAACTTATCGAACAACGGTGAATGATCCCAAACCGTTACATCATTTTTAGTTCATTGGATACCAGAAAGGCATGCAAAATCCATAAATCCTGAGAAGCCACAACCTCTAAAATTATTATTGCGTATCCGTAGCGACCGTTGTACTGGCCTCTCCATGCGACAAGGCATGCATCTCAACGCCAATGCATATAATCCAACGAACCTATCATACCTGAAAAGCCACATTCGTAATTTTTTGCCATCAAATGTGCAAGATCATCATAACTCGGATCGCGTAAATATTATGTTTTATAAATATTTATATTTGTATTGCAAAACTCTAGTGAATCGCGTTGAGCTTTGCCCTACCCTATTTTTAGCATCTCGTCAACACTATCGAACTAGTATCCATATGCAATGATTCAAATCGCAGCCATGACCTTCTAGAGGAGTGAAAGACCCATCTGATTTGTACAATCTAGACATTGTGTGAAGTACAAATTGTTGTTGCACACATCATGGAATATTCTACTGAAAAATTTTCGACGCATACAAAATCTACATCTGAAAATAGACTCGGAAAACTGAGCCATATCTAAAAAATAGTCCTCTCATAATTCCTAGTGCCTTGCCTCTCTATCCCAGTTGTAATTTCTCTGCACGGGTGCAATTGTCTATTTGAAGTTGGACACATCAAGTAAGGTATCTCGCAACCATTCGAGAGAGTTTTGTCGCAACCCTAACAAAAGACATAGTCTTCCCTTTCGTTCATCAATAGCAATACGATCATCTATCCAAAATTGAGCATTTACATCCGGGTCCACTCTTTGTTGTCTTCACTTTCCATCCAATGTGATAAAAGAAAAGACACCAACAACTGTTAAAGTAGTAGAAAATGATATTGCAATGTAAAATAGTCGACTCTGAAAGAAAATAAGCATCGACTACCTTGTATTTTTGTGTTCTTGATCAACCACTGAAGCCCCAAAGGTGATTTATATCAATGTGATAACTATGTCAATCTCTACTATGGTACATAGTTGTGGGAGCTAGACACTAATATTATATGTGCCTTTAAATTGAAAAGTGATGTAGCGTTCACGTATTGCCAAATATGTTTTCAATGCAACTGCTATTCATATGTTTGGGTGTTCCTTATGAATTTGTTCGGCATTTGCATGTTGCAGCGTCACATTCAGTCAACTCATATATTCTTTTAAATATTTAATCTTGTATAGGCATGCCAATGAGTTGCTTTATTGGTACATAGATTTAGACAAGACTCGACTTTTGTCCTCGTTTCCACAAAGTTATTTTTTAATTAAAGCAAAGTTGACATAAAAAACAAAAAAACTATTAGGGTTCAGATACATATGTGGAACTGTACTTTTGCGATAGTTCTTCACTGTCATAATGTGGCCAAGACTACATTGGCTGGTTTACGATGAGACATTTAAGTTTATATAATTTGAAGAAAGACAGATAAGTGACAAATGTTTGCAATGTCATTATCCTAATACATTTAGAAATTAGTGGCTACAATTCTATATAGAGTTTGAGTAGGATGAAACCCATCCCAACAATAGTATTTGTGTTAGGTTCTTTGCAGGCCAGTGCCTGTAGCTTCGGGATGCAATTCGACGTCCCATTCATCCATGTAATACAACATGCTTTGCTCGAATTACTTAGACTTTGGTAAGTAGAAGAACAATAAACAGTACAATTAAATTTGATCAAGATTCAATGTTTGTTTATAATAATGAAACTGGGATAGACAATTTACCATATTTTGATCGATTGATGATCCCATTGTATCTAAGCCAGTAAGCATTGCTGAAAATAATGAACGAGGGAACAACAAGGCAAGACGCAACTACAAAGAAAACTGCAATAGAAGTGACTAAACAAGAAACAGTCCACATCTCAATAATTAAACACCATTACTACATCAACGTACTGACGAACATCACACCATAAATATTAAGGTAAACAACATAGGCTACACCAAATTACCAAGTTGGGTTACTACACAAGTTACAATGAAATGTTAATAGCATTGTCATACAATCCTACACCTCACCGTCCTAAAGAAGACACAAATAAGTACTAATGTAGTCATGAAAATATTCAAGACGGTCAAATAGAGCATTATGTCTTTATTCTCCATCTTTCCATGTTTCTCTTTAGAGCATAAACATGAACATTGGATGTCATTAGTTCTACATAGAAATCTCGATGTAGCACTTGATTCACCACCACAAAAAAGAGTTTTCATTTTTTATATCAGAAGCACGATAGGCTTTCTCAGTTGCATTGTCTTCCCAACGTAGCCATCTATCACATGGGTCACACTTATAATACAACCTACCAGGATTATTTTCGCTTTTTGATATTTTGAGAACACATTTCTCTCCACACATACATGTTGGAATAATTTGAATGGTGGCAATTAATCTTTGAGTAAGTAAAAATTTAAAGACCAAAATGTATGTGAGTAGGATGCATTGATAATATAACAAACTTGAAAATTTGTCTACTAGAAAGATTTCAAATCCTTTTGCAATACGAGGGACAATACCGTGCAATATAAAGACAAACATATTGATCAATCCTTAATATTAAATACATATATATTTTTTTATATAAATGTGTGAGTTCAATTTCATTATGTGGAATGTAAAAATAATTATATTTCAAGAAGTGTTTCTACTTATGAATTTGTTGGTCATATATTTTCAAACGAGCAATTTAGTACATTATAACGATATTTGCCGGAATTTTTCACTAAGAAATGAGCCAAAATTGATTTCGGTGGTACCCAATTTGAAACTATTTCTTCGACCAACCAAATCCAGGTCCAAATCGAAACAATTTCTCCAACTCAAAACATTCAAAAAAAAAAAAAGAGTCAAGCATTAAGATTTTTTTGTCAGTAAATTAAAATTTGTAAAAAAGCTCTTATCCAAGCGTAATGGAAAATTATATATTTAAACAACACAAATCCTAGGCTAAACTGCAAAATCTATCTTCAGCACTGTATATTTGACACAAAGAAAGTTTACTCAAGTGTAAAACGAGAACCATAAAAGAAAGGAGACCAACAAAGATGATTTCAGGAGGGGAGGAAGAAGATATCGAGGAGCAGATACTGAGAAAAAAACGACCTGCAGTTTCAAAGAAAAAAATGATCCAAACGAATGAAGTATTAATGCCTTTTATTTATTAAAATAAATTATTAAAACATATATATATATATATATTTTTTTTTATAAAATAAGCCAACTGTGTAGAGATAAAAATGTAGATTGCTAGTTTGGGATTTTAGGATAGACACAGCACGGCTGAGGCAATTTTTAGCTTCAACTAATACAGTTGCTTTAACTATCTACCCATTTTATTTTAAAATTATAATATTGTTACTAATACCGTAATAAAAAGAGTAGAGTAAAAATTATTTTTGATTCCATTCAATATCAAAATTATTAATTTTGGTCCAATTAAAAAAAATTAACAATTTTAGTCTCACTCAAATGAAAATTTATCAATTTTAGTCCTAAAATGGTTGACTGGAACTCAATACGGCCGTGTTGGCTTGAACACGGCCGTGTTGGATGACTCAGAAGGTGACTGGGCGTCCTAGGCAGCCAACACGGCCGGGTTGATTACCCTACACTTCCGAACACAACTATGTTCCTGCCCATGTTATTAACACAGCCATGTTCCTGCCCATGTTCACGAGTATGTTTTCAATATAATCATATTGTAGGTCATATTTATTATTATTTTCATTTTTGGTTAAAATTATTTGATATATATATATTTATAATTTAACAAAAATATTTTTTACAATTATTTTATAATATAAAAAATAATCAAATTTTAATATTTTTAAAATATATAAAAATAATAATATATTAATATATATTTTTTAATGATACTCTCTCCGTCCCACTTACCATGTCCACATTGCCGTTTATATCCGTCCCACATCCCATGTCACTTTCTTTTTTTTTGGAAAATAATTACACACTATTTTTTAATTTAATTTTAATTTTAATTAAACTAATAAGTTATTTTAATCTTAATTTATAATTATTTATATTATATGATAATTATTTTTACTAATACATTTTTAATTATCTATTAATTATACTTATCATAAATTCTCGTGTCTATAGTGATCCAGATATTCAACGTGGGAAGGAGGGAGTATTATTTTAAAATATTATTATTTTTATATATTTTAAAAATATTAAAAATTGATTATTTTTTATATTATAAAATAATTGTAAAAAATATTTTTGTTAAATTATAAATATATATATATCAAATAATTTTAACCAAAAAGTGAAAAAAATAATAAATATGACCTACAATATGATTATATTGAAAACATATTCGTGAACATGGCCTAGAACATGACTGTGTTGAGAACATGGGCAGGAACATGGCTGTGTTGAGAACATGGGCAGGAACATGGCTGGTAGGAACATGGTTGTGTTCGGAACACGGGCAGGAACACGGCCGTGTTCAGAAGTGCAGGGTAATCAACACGGCCGTGTTGGCTGCCTGGGACGCCCAGTCACCTTATGAGTCATCCAACACGGCCGTGTTCAAGCTAACACGGCCGTGTTCAGTCCCAGTCAACCATTTTGGGGCTAAAATTGATAAATTTTCATTTGAGTGAAACTAAAATTGATAATTTTTTTTTGAATAGGATCAAAATTAATAATTTTGATGTTGAATGAGACCAAAATTGATTTTTGCTCAAAAGAATATTTTTGTTAAATATACTTTAAAAATACAAACACGACTTAAAAAAACCAAACACACGCTTACTTTCCCCCAAATGATTTGGAGTGTAAAAACATAACAAGAGCTACAGTAGATTTAAAGATAGGAAGGAGATAAAGATAATCGCACGTCGAGAGGCCGACACGTGTCGCTAACCCAACCTCCAACTTTTTCCCTCTTAAAATTCCATCACACAATCTTCCCTTTCCCATTTTCCCAAACTCCAACTGTCGCCTCTGAGTTCCGCCATTGTTCAACCGATCACTTCCACGCTGCTGCTGCTGCTGACGCCCCATTTTCCCATGGCTTCTGTGGCGGAATTGAATTTCGGCGCCTGTTCTTCCTCCAGAAAAGCCACCAGCAACTATTCCTCTCAGTTCTCCTATGTTTCAACTCGTCTGTCTCATCACCGCCGCGTTCGCCTCAGGCCGCTTCCGGTGCCCCGGAGTTCATCAATTCAGTGCTCTGTAACTTCAGAGTATGTTTATCCTCGATATTGATTGATTGTTAGGAGTGTTTTGGTAAATGGTGGGGGAAGACGGAGTAACTATTTCTGTGTTCTTAACTGTTGTGAATGTATTTGGCAGTCAAGTTCAAGCTCCGGTAGCTGTGAATACAGAAGATCCCAAAAAACCAGAGTGTTACGGAGTGTTCTGTCTCACCTACGATCTCAAAGCTGTAAGTATTTTGAACATTGTCAGGCAATTTGATGTTGATTTTGATCTTTCTTATTTCAATTTATTCGTTTTGGTGAGTTTTCTTATGGAAGAAGTTTAGAATAGACAATGGTACGTTTAGTATGCGTTATATGCTGTTCGAGTGCACAGAGACTACTTTGGGATGTTCAGGGGTTCTAAACAGTGTTACACTTATTGCTTGTCTGTTAAAACTCTATTGGAATCAAGCTTTTATTATTTCCTTATATATTTATGGAGATGTTCGTTGATTTACCTCCATAAGATGTCTTAGCATTGATGGTTGCTTGATTCATTTGATTATTACAGGACGAGGAGACAAAATCCTGGAAGAAATTGATTAATATTGCTGTTTCTGGTGCCGCCGGGATGATAGCCAATCATCTTCTCTTTAAAGTGAGTTTCTTGAATATGTTCTTCTATTGAAGTAGCAGTGTATGTATGGAGGTCCCCCATGATACTGAAAAGTTTTTGTAGTTATCATTAACAATTTCATATTGAAAATGCAAAATTTTCTAAATGAAGGTTTGGTGCAAGGGCATTGATTGGCTTCTCTATCTTCAGGGCAATAAAAATTAAACAAAACAGTTGGATTGCATGATGATAAAACCTGAATTTTGATTGAGTTCTTAACATTTTTTACATGAATTTAGTCAATGGATGGATGAGGCATGATGGTTTTGGAATTTGTTCTGTTCTCCCATTAGGGAGATATATATTTGATATTGTTGGCTTCTTAGTGTTGACAAAGATAGTTGAGATTTACGTTATAATTCCACCATGCACAGTTACTGTACTAAAATTGAAACTAAGTAATCATCTTGCACTTGATATTAGGATGTTTTTTGTCATGAGTCTGGACTATACTATTGACGTTAATATTCACTGAGTTATCTTAGTAGAACAGTTCCATATATATCCGAGACAGGGCTGTTTTTAGTCTCTCGGAGAGCTGTTAATGAGGTGTGTTTTGTCAGCTTGCTTCTGGAGAGGTTTTCGGGCCTGAACAACCTATTGCTTTAAAATTATTAGGATCCCAGCGATCCTTTCAAGCACTAGAAGGTATTATTCACCAAAGTTTCAACCATTTTTCTCTTCAAGATTCAATGTGAGACACATGATCTACTTATACTTTTTTTTTTTTCTCATCACTTCGTTTGGTATTTCTAACGTTTAATTTGTTGCACAAGGGTACTATTGACTATATTTTTAATGTTGAATCTGTTCAGGAGTTGCAATGGAACTTGAGGACTCCTTGTATCCACTTTTACGAGAAGTGAGCATCGGAATTGATCCATACGAAGTTTTTCAAGATGCAGATTGGGCACTCCTTATTGGAGCCAAGCCCCGTGGCCCTGGAATGGAACGAGCAGGCTTACTGGACATAAATGGGTCGATTTTTGCTGACCAGGTATCATATCTTCTTAATGCATTTATAACAGACACTGATTCCGATTTCCAGACATTTTTTGTTGAATAAACTTCCCTACATTTGTAGGGAAAAGCCCTCAATGCTGTTGCATCCCGTAATGTAAAAGTTATTGTCGTGGGCAACCCCTGCAACACCAAGTAAATTAATTATATGCACATTTTTCTTCATTCTGTAGTTTATTTTTTATCGGTAATTTACTGGTTTTAACTTTTACTTTGAAGTGCATTGATCTGCTTGAAAAATGCTCCCAACATTCCAGCGAAAAATTTTCATGCTCTGACTAGATTAGACGAAAATAGAGCAAAATGTCAGGTGTGCAACCATACCAACTGTAATCCTTATCTTGATTCCCTTTTCCTTCTGGAGAAATAACATAATCTTGCATTTAAATGATTCAATGCAGCTTGCCCTTAAGGCCGGCGTCTTTTATGACAAAGTATCAAATGTGACAATTTGGGGGAACCACTCGACAACTCAGGTTATTCGATTCTATAGAAATGCATATTATAGTACTATAGTTTTCCCCAGTTTTTGGGTTGGAATTACTGTCAACTCTTCAACAGGTTCCGGACTTCTTAAATGCCAAGATCGATGGCGTACCCGTCAAACATGTTATTAAAGACAATAAATGGTTGGAAGAAGAGTTCACAGAAATGGTCCAGAAGGTGATGATATATGTGAACTAAAGATTGTTGCAATGTGCCATTGTATACAGTCTTTACTTAATTGCTGACCATAAAAAGGATCTTCCTTTACAGAGAGGCGGTGTTCTAATTCAGAAATGGGGAAGATCCTCAGCTGCATCAACTGCTGTCTCCATTGTTGATGCAATAAGGTCTCTCGTTACTCCTACTCGCGAAGGAGATTGGTTTTCATCTGGGGTAAGTTATTCTTTGCTTTTTATTTATTTCTATCATGACTCAACTATGAAGTATGCATTTTTTTTAAAGAAGTCGTATATATATATATATATATACATATATATTCAGATAATCCCTTTTATGAGTCTATCGTTGCTGGAGTTACACAATACTTATGTTATTCTAAAGCTAGTTTAGGTAAGAGTTTTAGAAGTTTCAAAGTTATAGAAAAATTTTAAAATATTTATAATTTTTCTCAAAATATCCTATCGTATAATATATAGAGAAAAAATAAAGATCAAAGCACTCGTGCTGCACTTGAGTTCTATACAATCTTTTTAAAGCAAGTGTTTTACTTCCTCAATCAGCTCAAAAGTATCAGTTTTGTCATTTTTTATTGTTCTAAAGACAAAGTATCAAATTTATTTATTTTTTCTCAAGTAAATATAAACTCTTTACTCGTTACAAATATTCTCAAATTTGCACTTATTTACATAAAAAAATATTCCATTAATTTAGACATAAGTGCAAAAAATGTCAACTAATTAAAATTAAAATACAATATTCATTAAACTCTGATGAAAAACAGACGAGTACTTCTTGAAATTGGAGTATAATTTTTGCACATTTCTCTATGCAAATCTAATTTGAGTAATATATCATAATTGGGTTTGTTTCTTTTGCCATAAATCTCAAATTTCTACTATTTTAACTGTGTTTCCCAAAAAAAAAAAATACACTTTTTTTTCTCACAAAATATCACATCATGTATTATTTTAATATCAAACCCAAACTAAATTTTTTTCAAACCTATCAAAAGAAACATACTCAGACAATACTTTACATGTAGCATATAATTTTGTAATTTGTTATAATTATTTGTCTAACATATCTAAATAAATGGATTATATTCTATCTGTATTATTTATATATTTTTGTACTCACTTAGACTTCGATTTTTTACTCTGCATTGGCCACATATCGTTGCTATCTATTCCTATAAATGGGTAACTCTCTAAGTGATGACAAGAATTATAATATTAATGGTAGAACTTTGTTGATCTTACTATTTCATGACATTATAAATTCAGCACATAGTTAGCAAGATGGAATTGTTTAAATCTTTCTAAAAAATCACTAAAAAATGTAGGTGTATACTACGGGAAATCCCTATGGTATTGCAGATGACATTGTTTTTAGTATGCCATGCCGATCTAATGTAAGTTCTGCCTCACTTTGACATTCTTAATACTCTTTACTCTCTAGATGTATATGAGAGATTTGTTTTTTTTCCCAAAATTTTAACAGGGAGATGGTGATTATGAACTTGTCAAAGATGTCATATTTGATGATTATCTTTGGAATCGCATAAAAAAGGTATGGTTATGGTTTCCTCATATTTCTAGATGTTAGTATTCATGAAATTGGGAGCATTTTATTTATATATTGAAAGGTGACGATTGCAGTGTTGATTAAGATTAATTAGCATGAGATATAAATCGATAGCACAAGGTGAATGTTAATATAATAAAAATACAATATATGAACTAACAACACATGAAAATAGTTCATATATCATATACTAAAAGTCATTGTAATAATTTACACAACATATTTATATTAATTAAAGTCATGTTTTAGTTGTCTATATATTATGTGTTCATTAGAGTTTATCAACACAGTGCTGATTATCCTTAACTAGTACCTAACCATTCCCATTTTGAAAATTTGAAGTTTCCTCTTTCTTCTACGATCCTCAGAAGCAAGTGTTTGGTGAAAACAATTTAAAGTGGCGCGTACATATCGATTAATATTTAGTTATAATTTAGTCGATCAACCTCCTCATGAGCATGTCTGAAGTAGAACAATGAAATATTTTTCTTACACTCGCATTGAGAATACAGAAATAAAAAATAAAAAAATCCCGTATTTTGCAGACAGAAGCCGAGCTGCTGGCCGAGAAGAGATGTGTAGCTCATCTTACTGGAGAGGTAAAAGTACACCAAACCAGATCACACATTGATCATTTTCAGTTTGTTTGAGAGACTGTTTGTCTGAAATATTGGCTTTATTAATCCTTACAGGGCATTGCTGTCTGTGATCTGCCTGGCGACACAATGCTTCCCGGAGAAATGTGAGCGGCGAGACCCCAGTTTGGACAGTCCCGGTGAGTCTGTAAATCGATTATCATCTCTAGCAGTACTATAATAAGGGCAATTGGAGCCTAGTTTAATGCATTTTTTAGAAAAAAAACTCTGTTTCAAGTTATGTAAGTCTATATCACTGCTACTCTTGACCTTTTAGTTCTTTATAGTGTAAAACTTTGCGCTTTTGTGCAAAATGGACTTACACTCAGAAAATAATAAATATAGTAAAATTTTAAATTGAAATGAAATTTTAAGTAAGTATTTATGTAATGTTATTAATGAAAATTTAATTTTTAATCCTAACAGTATACTCCTTCTCTCTCAATCCAAAATGGTGATTGGAGTTTTGCAGTGAATTAATAAATAATAGTAATATTATATTAGTTAATGAAAATGTAAGATAAATTTGATATTTAGGTATAAATTAACTTTACATATTTGTAATTTATATAAAAGTGAGTATTTTGATATTAGTATATGATTATTTTTTAGTGAGACAAATGAAAATAATAAAAAATAATATTTTCGAGGGAGTAAATGAGAAGATATATACATATATATATATTTTCAGAAGAATATTATAAAACGCTATCTAAGTATGAATTATCTCCTCACAATAGAATAATCACACCAAATGAAGTAATATAATCAATCAATAAGGATACAAACAATTTTTTCCTGGAAAATTATCTCGAAGTGAGGTTAAAAACCATGAGATCGAAGCCCACAAAATCTACATTATAATAATAATAAAAAAAAGGGTACAAATCGTTCAGCTTAATTTTCGACTCATAATATATACAATCAATCTTGTCAATAAAATATTAGTGAAATAGAAAAATTCACAAGCACCACCCTGCCATTCAAATCACAAACCTCAATGATCGAAAAGTCTTATTTCGATCTCCACCGTTCACAACTTACTCCAACACGTCCCAACAACATACTCAAACTCTAGTTTGATCTAACTGTTAGATTTTCCGATTTATATCAACAACGAAACTAGTCCGACAGAATTCGAGAAGAAACATAGCTCTCTTTGAGTTTTATATAATAACCTGTGGTGTTTCGATTCCAATTTTGACGGAGATGAAGCCCGAGTTGATACTGGGGAAAATGATGGAAATGAAGCCGCAATTTGACTTTTGGAAAAATTAAATCTTACTAAATTACATATTTAATAAGACATTGACTTTAATTGCTTTCATTTAGGTTTAATAATAGTGAATTAAATTTGGGAGACTACTATTTATATTGAAGATCTGTAATTAGGACATGACAAATGAAGTAATTTTATTTCTGAAATAATAAGGGTTGTGTATCTTCATCCTCTTCTTATGGCTTACATCAAATTTCTACCATTAAGATTGTAGAAATATGAGTATTGAACCTTTTGTATAAATTCTCATATTAGTAGATCGTTATTTCACAGAGACTGCACATGTAATAAACAAGGTGTCAACTGGAACAAGTTTCTTACATACTGTAACATCTTTATCCACTCAATATCAAAATTATACCTAAGTTGATTATCTATATGTGAAGTTATCGAAATACCCTCCATATTAACGAAAAATAATAAATACTCGTAATTTGTATCTAAGTATGAATGATCTCATGTGAATGGTAGAAAACAACCACAATAGAATAATCAAACTAATACAATCAATCAACATAAATCGCATTCAAGAACACCGATATTTTCAGATCTAGGAGTAACTCATTGTTGATATGTTGGATGTCATTGAATTTTAAATTATATATTTTTTATGAATGTATTTCTTTTATTATTTTAGATTGTCTGTTGTACCTATTTTTAAATTTAGTATACCTGTTTCCTATACTTTAATAAAATATTTGCATACTTTCTTTAAGATAGCAATTATATCAAGTGTAAAGTATAATTTCAAGGATATTTTAATCAATAATTTTTTTTACACACTATTTATCATATATAAAATATTAATAAATATATATTTTTTAAATAAATATATATTTTTTAATTTATGTGTAAAAAGTAAATAAGTGCGTATATCTCGGATGGAGAGAATATTTAAGATTTTGATGGTCAAATTATACACCATTCATTTATACGAAAGATGTGAATTATGCTATTTTTGTTAATTCGGTATAATATTTATTCTTTTTTTTTTTAAATAAATGTAGAATTTACTAATATTATAAATATTTAAAATTTATATTGATTATATCAAATTGAAAAAAAAAGGATAAAAAGAATCTACACAAAAAGTACTACTAACAATCATTTAAATACTTATAATACATACATATTTTAATTTTTCTTTAAAAGTAAATGTATCACTTTCTAGGGGACTGAGGATTTAAGATATTTTTGATGGTATAATTATATGTAAGATGTTTGGATGTGGCCAATATTGAGAAAGGTTAAATTGTATATATCTAAGATATTTGTGTGTAAAAACAAATGCATTGAATTAAAATATATAATTTGTTGTACAATTTATTTTTATACTAGTTACAAAATTTAACATAACATTTTGTGTGCATTATTTTGTTAACACGAGAATGAATTGTATATATCAACATGCTTTGTCTACATTAAGAGGAAGAAGCCTCCAGGTCACTTGCCATATCTTAGAAACTTTGTGGGAAAATAATGAGATTGACTCATCAAAACAAGAGGTCTATATATAGGCAATACAAAATAGATTCGATAGACTCAAATTTAAGTAATGTAATATATGGATAAGACCAATCTAAATATAAATATACTAAATCTAAAATTGAATATCTAAAATATTTCAACATCCCCCTTAAACTCAAGTTTGATAAGAAAGTTAAATATAAACACAAAAAACACAAATAAAAATAACAAATGACTATCCACCAGAGTTGAAAACGAGATGACTTTCCACCACCGAGCAAAAACTGAGATGACTCTCCACCGGAGCCGAAAATGAAATGAGTCTCCACCGGAGTCGAAAACGAGATGACTCTCCATCGGAGCTGAAAATGACATGACTCCACCGGAGCCGAAAACGACATGACTCACCACCGGAGCTGAAAACGATATGACTCCACCGGAGCTGAAAACGAGATAACTCTCTACCAGAGCCGAAAACGAGATGACTCTTCACCAGAGCAAAAAACGACATGACTCCACCGAAGCAAAAAAGAGATGACTCTCCACCGGAGCCGAAAAAGAGATGACTCCACCGGAGTCGAAAACAAGATGACTTCACCGGAGCCGAAAACGACATAACTCCACCGGAGCCGAAAATAATTAGATCGCAAAAACCAAACAGATTGTACGCAGACAATAGACAAGTACGGACCATATCGCAGACAAATTTCAGATCGCACGCAGGCAACGGACAAACAATGGACATATGACAGATCGTAGACAAATTTTAGGCAACAGACAAGCAACGACATATGGTAGATCCCACGCAGGCAACAGACACGCAAAGGCATATGGCAAATCACATGCGCATGGCAATAGACATGCAGTGGAAATATGGTAGATAACAGACAGAGCAGATAGATTTCAGATGTAGATTGCAAACAAATTTTAGATTACACGCATAACATACAGTCAGCAGACATATGACAGATCGCAGAGAAACAAATTTGCAAAAATATAGACTTGCAAAGGCATGATTTCAAAATCACAAGACCTCCGGGTACAATCTAGGTTGATGTATCCGGAGAAACGCAGGTTGGTAGGCTATATCTACGGCATGAGAAAAATAGGTTCTGATACCATGTTAGAAATTTTGGGGAAAAATAATGAGATTGTCTTTTGATCATCAAAATAAGAGGCCTATATATAGGCAATACAATATAGACTCGATAAACTCAAATATAATCTATGGATAAAACCAAATTTAAATATAAATATACTAAATTTTAAACTGAATATCTAAAATATCTCAACACCATACATGGTTCGCCTAGTGTGACTTGCCTTGTCGGGTCTAGTTTACATTTTCGAGTAGCAGCTGCGGGTTTCCACATCATCGAAAAAACAAATATATATATATATATGGAGAAAGACAACTAATGATCAACATCTAGCGCATGCCAATATTTAATAATTATCCATTTGTAACTTAATTGGTATAATGGATACATTAGCAATAATAATAATATGGTGTATTGACCTGTCGCGTGGTCAATCAAATATGTCACATATTCTGTAATCACAATTTAATGTAATACAGGGGAAGGGATCGTCTCCACAGGGATTGTGTGGTTTACTCTTTCGCGTTCTAATGCAGTAAATAAAAGGGGAAAATTTTCTTTTATTATCTAATGAGGACAAAATAATAAAGCAATCAAATCGATAGGGAACTAGCTATCAAGGGGATGCCTGGCTCAAGGGATAATGCAGTTATGGCACTTGTATTTTTTCATTAATTCAATAAAGTTAATTCTTATTAAAGTATCAATAAATTGGTTAATAGTTATCAACAAGCTCTGACAACCAATTTTTCCTTACAATGTAGGTAATTAAGGTACGACCGTTAACTACCCCTAATTAAGCAAATAAACCTAGGTGCGTCCATAAGAAATATTGTCTAATCGCATTCTAATCTAGAAAAAGTCAATTCAAAACAATTACTACCTAAGAGGAGCAATTAGATTTGATTGTCTAACCCCCGGGAAGGAACTATTCAACCCGGTTGTCACCTATTCAAGTACGAGTACAATTACGGATCTCCTACCTGAATTGACTTTAGATTATCAGACTAATTCAAATATCGGTACCAAAATATTCAATCAATCTAACAATCACAAACGTATTCTTAAAATTAGACAAATATTGATAATCAAAAAGAACTTTTATAAAGAAAATTAAGAATTTCCAAAACAAAAGAACCAAAACATTATCATCTCTCAAACCAGAAAAGTATGTACTCCATAATCAAATAACAAAAAACAATAGAGAAAGATAAAGTCATAGTGGGAGGGGAAATCTTCACTGTCAATTTGCTCCTGCACGATCTATGAGTTTGTCAGTCTCCTGCTCCTGTGCGTATATGCTCTGGCCGTTCTCCTCTTCTGAAACGTGTGATCCTCTATTTTTATTTAATTTTTGCCCTAATTATTTTGTAGTTGGATTTTGGGCCTTTAATTATTCCCATGTCAAGAGGGTATAGTTAGTCATGGCCATGACTAACTAGGTGGTGTAAATCTGAATTTTTCTTTA